GAGAGAGAGAGAGAGAGAGAGAGAGAGAGAGAGAGAGAGAGAGAGAGAGAGAGAGAGAGAGCCCTGCAGCATGCAGCATGTCAGTGGCGGGGAGCCCAAGGGCAGGCGCTGACGTCCCAAAAGAAAAGAAAAGGTAATGTTCTATCAGAATACAAGACTTTCCGAGTTTCGAAATTCGATAAAGGGTACACTTTGTATTCGATAACAACCCATACCTGTTCTATTCGACGTGCTCTTCTATTGGAGAAGAGTGGACCCACACCGTTTCTTTTTTTTTTTCCTTTTTTAAAAACCCAGGGTTGTTGTAGAGGTCGGAATTCGATTTCGAAATGTTCAAAACTCAAGGACCGGCATCCTCGGCTTCCTACGGGCAACTAGCGGTCCCACCGGTCCTTCGCATGCGCCGCCCCTCGCTAAGCCCGCACCTCAAAATTGCCACCTTCCCGGAGCTACGTTGAAAGTTGAATCGCCGTTGAAGGTCTCAAGTGCATATAAAAGGCAACCCCGACGAGCTACGAACTGGTCGTCAGACATGCAGCTCGCACGGGAAGAAAATACAGGCTTTGTCTAGATGAGGAGGAGATGTGGGAGGATCCTTCGTGTCTTTCTCTGTTCGGACAGTTGATGGCTTCGTGCCCCGGTCGTTGTGATCGACGTGGCCGTCGGCGAAAGGCTGAAGGGCGGTTGTAGATTCCTATTACGGCAGTCATCACCGTGTTTGGAGCAGGTGACAGGGTGATGTTGTGCTTGTTTGTAGTTTCCTATTGCGGCAGTCATCACCGTTTCTGAAGCAGTGACAGGGTCAATCCGTGGTTGTTCTACGATTAACGTTACCACCAGCCCAACTAGGGTGCGTGGTGTAATCTGGATCGATCAATTCAAGTGATGAGTGATTAGCTAGTAATCGATTTGTTGATGATTGATCTCTGATCTGATTGGCTACCAAACCGTTATCGGGTGGGTTCTCGATCCAGTGGTCCGACTAAATTGATGCATTGACCGGTATATCAATCAATCAGTCAAGCGATCGAATCTTCAGTACGTCAAGCAATCAAACAGTCGACCGGCTCAATTTTAATCAATCAATTAAATCAATTTAGTCTTGGCTAATATCTGACTCTCCGAATCATCATCAGGCTCAGACAGGATGACTATGAAGACGCCAGCTGATTTTCTCAAGTCAATTCGAGGACGACCGGTCGTCGTCAAATTGAACTCGGGAGTGGACTACCGAGGTTAGCGACCCCAGCCCTCCTCAACTTCCCTTCTTTTCTTTCTCAGGTTTGCCCGATCCCGAGCCTCAGCCTCCCCCTCCCTCTCTCTCTCTCTCTCTCTCTCTCTCTCTCTCTCTCTCTCTCTCTCTCTCTCTCTCTCTCTCTCTCTTCCCCTCTGTTTCATTCTTTCTCTCTCTTCCCGTCTCTTTCATTCTTTCACTCTGTGATCTGTGAGGTCCCTTCTCGCTTATCCCTCCTTCCTTCCTCCTTTCCCGTCCGTGTTTCTGCTTCTTTCACTCGCGACTGGCCTCTTACTGTCTTGCCCACTGTTCGTCCTCTCTGTATTTCTCGCTCCTCCTCGATTTGCTGACTACCTCCCACAAACCGCCTTTCCCCCTATCTCTGGCCGCTGCTCCTCTCCTCTCTCCCTTTCTCCTTGTCTTCTCTCTCCCCTTCCTTTGCTGGCCAGCTTCTTGCGATCGCGCCATTTGTTCCCTCTGCAGCTGTTCCCACCCCGCTACCCGTGTCTCTTCCATCTCTCCCTCTCCTCTCCCCCTCCTCTTCCTCTCCTGTCCCCGTGTTCTCCGGCTCCTCTCTCCCGCGTCGTCCTCCCCGCCTTGTCCTTTTTAACTCTTTGCCTTCTTCTCTAGCCGTCGACTCCTCCCGCCCCGTATCGTCTTCCCTCCTCTTCCTTCTCTTCCCTTCTCTCTCCCGTCCCTCTTCTCTTGCTGACTATCTGCCTGCCGACCGCTCTCTTTCTCTCTCTATTTGTTTCCACCACGCCTTCTCGCCCTCTCTTGTCTCTCTCCTATCCCCGTTGTTCTCCTTTCTCTCAGTACTTTCTTTTCTGATCACCCCTCCCGTCACCTTCTCGCTCTTTCTCTCCCCCTCTCGTTTCCCTACCCTTGTCCCTCTTCAATTCTTGGCTACCCCTCCTCCACTCCCTCTCTTCCGATCTTTCACTTGCTACCTCCCTCTTACTTCTGTCTATCCTCTTTCTGGCTGTTGCACCCTCCCTTCGCACCCTCCCCCGCCCTTTCCACGAGTGGGCTCCACATCCTTCTTATCACAGTTTTCCCGCCTCTCTCGCTTTCTCGGTGGCTACCCTTCCTCCTCCTGCCCGTCTTGATCCCTCTCTCTCTCTCTTTCTCACCCCCCCCGCCCCTGTTCCTAACCTCCTTCCTTATCACAGCCTCGTCTATCTATCCTCAGCATTCTCTACGCACGTTCGTCTCGTCGCCATCTTCATCACACTACCCACTTTCTCTTCCTCTGCCGTCCCATCGCTCTCCGCCTTTCTGCGCCTCCCCTCCCAACCTTCGCCGCCTGCGGGCCGTCGCTCGCTCTCCACCGCTTATCTCCCTTCTTCCCTCGCTCTCGCAATACGCAGGGGCCATACTCTCACACTAGGGCTTTTTCAACCTGTCTTTGGGCGTCATTGCGGTCAGGTGCATCAAGTTCTCGCCGTAAAATCTGTCAGACACATTTACAACAGTCCTATTAGTGTGTGCGTATGGCCTCCGAACCCTCAAATCGATTCTGCATTTTTATCAGGGGTTCGATCTCGCGCACGATTGCCGGTAAATTTATCTCTATACAACTCTATTACTTTCTTCCCCCCGAATAGAACGCACAGTCATCATCGCTGTGTCTAGACTGAAAACGGTACCAACCACAGTGTACAATGACCGTGCGTTCTATTCGGCGGTAGAGCGGGAGCAGCTGTGGCTTGTAGTCGAGGCTGCTGAGTGCTTTTGGCCTGTCTGTCCGTCATCACTCCAGTGATTGCGTCGTCAGCAGTACCACGAAGGGCGGACTCACAGTTGGGGATTCCCGGATGTATTTGACTTTTATCGCCGCAAGATTCAGTAGGAAGGTTCCGGCGTGAGTGTGCGTCCTAGTACTAGTAAATTTCATTTAGGAAAAATAGAAGGAAAAAAAGAAGCGGAAAAAGGGAAAAAATGTAGGGGAAAAAAAGATAAAAAGAAGATAAAAAGAAATAAAAGAAGAAGAAAAAGAAGAAAAAAAGACGGAAAAAAACAACTTGATAGCTGCAGGCGCAATCGGCAAAATACGGATTGACTATGTTAGATGGGTAGCAATAGGGAATAGTCACACAGTGGGGAAACCTTCTGGAGCGAATTTGGCCGTAGATGCTGGCAGGTACATCCAGGAAAACTCAGTATCGCCAATAGCTACACGTAGCTTAGTATGTGAAAGGTAGTCTCAAGGAATAGCCACTCCACCGTCTATACTCGAATGGAATGCCCGGTCACTGTAGCTGTTGGGCCAACTTTCAGTCTAGATGCAGCGATGATGACCATGAGACGGTGGGATGTCTTTCCTGCAGCGAATCTGGCTGTAAACGCTGGTAGATTCCTCCAGCGAAGTTCCTGTATCGCCAATTGCCTATTACAACGGGTGTTCTTAGGGTATAGTCGCACTAGGAATTCCGTAACGAATCTGGCCGTAAACCCTGGCAGATGCGTGTGGAGAGATGGCTACTATATGCCCTGATGTCACAGTTACTGGTCTCGTATATGCCCTGATGTAGTAATACTGGTGGTAGTTGCAAGGGTAGCAGTGTAGTAGCTCTACCTGTCTTCCCCCGAATACAGCGCACCATCATCATGTCTGTATCGGGCAGGAAAAATAGCTCGTTTACATCCACGATGATCAGGGTGCGTTGTGTTCGGGGGAGGACGGCTAGTAATGTAGTTTACCGACCGATCCCAACCAATCAATCAAACCCATTTCCCGATTGGGGTGCGTTGTGTTCGGGGGGGAAATGGGTTTGATTGATTGATTGGTTGGGATCGTTTGGTTAAGTACACCACTACCCGTCCTCTGTTTCTCTGTTGTTCATCATAAGTGGCGGTATTACTACCCTCTGCCCCCGAACAGAACGTACAATGATTTTGTCTGTGTTTAGGGCAACTTTCAGCCGAGATACAGCTTATAATTACCATGCGTTCTATTCGGGGGAAGACGGTAGTAACTATACGTGATTGTACTGCGTATGTTTTTTGTTTTTTTTCTTAGCGCATGTGCGGTATGAGGAAGATGTGGCCCATTAATCCGACTGACCGTAGATTTGCGAGGACATCGACGGCGGAGCCGTTCAATCGATCATCACTCACAAGGTAGAAGCAAAAAGACCTTCAATCAATCATCAATCAGAGAAGAAACAAAGAGGAAAAAAAAAAAAAAAAAGGGAAAGAAAAAGAAAAGCGCGGAGACGGGACCGCTTTCAGTTTGTAATCGTCGAGACGAGCTGTATTCTGAAAAGCTACCGACCGACGTCCCCCGAACATAACGCACCCAGATCATGAGTGTACACAAGGTATTTTTGCGGTCCGATACAGTCAGGATGACGGTGGGTTGTATTCGGGGGATGACGGTTAGGACTCCAACCACACTCAAGTGGTCGAAAATGATTTACTACAGTATGCCAACGTATTACACTGCATCGCTTGCCCCGTGTCCAGTCAACGTCCGCTGATTCATTCATTCACCATGTATTTTTTGTCGCATTCTCTCTTTTTTTTTTTAACAAAATTTTATTTTTATTGACATTCTAAATACAATGTCTCACACTCCATCGCTTGCCACGTGTCCAGTCAACGTCCGCTGATTCGTTCATTCATCATCTATTTTTTTGTCGCATTCTCATTTTTATTTATTTATTTGTATTAGCATTCTTATTACAATGTCTCACACTCCATCGCTTGCCACGCGTCCATTCAACGTCTGCTGATTCATTCATTCACCATATACTTTTTTTTTTGTTGTAATCACGCCATATCATTTCATTTCAAAAAAGTATGCAGTCGGGACCGGGGCCACCTGGAGTAACCTCTGGCAGCCTTAGCCAGTTTCTCTTATAAACAGACAGAAAACAAATGTCAGAGCACCTTCTACCAATCCCACTTACTCCCCTACCCTACGTGTCCTATCCAGGTTCTAACCCTACCAAATATTATACTTGCATACACAGAGACCTACTACGGTCTGAAGCCGGGCCCAGTTCGGCCGGGGGAACCTAGTTCCCCTTATTACTGTGACACTCTCCCTCCCTTATTCGACTCGTTTGCAGTCTAGCGGTACTGCCCACTGGAACCGAGTGCGCCTGGTTCGACCTATTGCTGCTTCTACTCCTACGCCTATTCCCACTCCCACTCCCTACTCCCCCCTCCCTCTGCTGTCCTTCTACCCATTGTGATATCACTAGTTTATTTCTACTTATCATAGCCAACCCACCAGGCATTGCCCATGTCTCTGTGGACCACTTCTCCCCTGCTCCCCTGTTCCCTTTCAAAACTTTCCTTCTCCAATCCTCTCTGATCCCTGAGGTTTTCAGTAGCAGCTTGAAGAGCCTCTCGGCATGTACCTCGTCCAGCTCTTGTCCCTGAAAGCGCCTTCCGTTCCTATCCATCCAGATGAGGCACATCGTAATGGCTCGGCGCGGCTGGGCGATGTAGCCCCATCCTTTTCCAGATGGGATATTGTCTGGCGGAAACCCGGTGATGACCCAGCTCGCTTCTCCTCTGCATGAGGTGTCGCCGGACATTCTGGTCAAGTGTTGGAACCACCAGCTCCACCACTTCTGTGACCTTGGGCAAGCCCACCAAAGGTGGGTCATTGTCTCAAAGGGCCATTTACAGCGGTCACAGTCCAGTCTGACATTCATTCCTCTACTTTCCAGCCAGCGAGCAGTGGGTACTGCGATGTGAGACTGTAGCCAGAGCAGAGATGCGAATTTTTGCGATGGCGGCAACAGACTCAGTTGATTCCAGAGCCTTGTGAGATTTTTCTTTGTCGGTGTTTGCAGCACTGGCTGAGCTTGCTCCCACGGGTCAATCAGCTTGGAATACAGATTTTCATTAGGATTTAGTCGTGTCCTTATTAGCTTGGTTGACAGTTGCTTCAGGTCGAAAAATTGTCTCAGCTTCTCCTTTCCATCCCCACATCAGGGGTTCAATTCGCATCTTCTGTTTGGCTATTCCTCCTGCCACCAACTT